GATTTATGTCTATGTGTATGTGCTTGCTTCTCTGTATGTGCACCACAGGCATGAAGTACCCGCAGAGGCCTGAAGAGGGAGCTAGAGCCCCAGAACCTAGTTACAGGTGATTGAGAGCAGGTGTGGGCAATGGAAACCAACCTGTGTTCTCTACAGAGGCCCATAATAAGTGCCCGTAATTTCTGAGCCATCTCTCCAGGTACACGTTGCTCATTTCTTTCTATTTTTTTCTATTCATTATTGACCAGTGCTATTTGTACACATTTATGGGTACAACTGGCTTCTATTATGATGTACACATTACAGAATGATTGAAATTACTTAATTTCCATATCTTAGATATCACATTTTGATTTTTTGAATTCCAGAGCTCTGTGGTCCACTCTGACTAAAGCTAAGGTTTTTTTGTTTTTGTTTTCCAATCTATAGATTTAAATGCTTGCTATATATTTTGCCGAATAGGTTGATCTATGATTTCCACAACTTTCAGGGTTGATGAGAGGTATGCTTGACAAGTCAAAGCTTTTCTTTTTTTCTAGAGATCTATGGTGTTGGAAACGCATGCTCTCAGTTCTGCTCTCTGGAACTGGCACATCAAGGGGACCAGAAATAGGACCTTTAGATTGTGGGAAACTACATCTGAATTTCAATGCCCTGTTTACTGCGACATTTCAGACAGAACAGACATCAGCTTCTCCATACCTGTTCCTAACCAGAAGACTATATTAATAGACTAATTATAGAGTTGGTGGATTAAAATAATGGTCTACAAGAGTCAATCACATATAGAATAATAGGATTTAATGTATTTCAGGTAGTACTAGTGTGGTAGACTTTTTTTTTTCCCTTGTAAACATTTTACATATCTTCTATTTCCAACCTCTCAGCACTCAAATAAGTTAGGTACATAGTTGTTTCTATATTACAGAGTTGTTTGATTTACTTGCTGTCAATATTATTATATGGTAGAACTATGACTGGATTTTGAAGTCCTGTTTTGAAAATATGTGTTTTGCCAGGTGGTGGTGGCACATGCCTTTAATCCCAGCACTTGGGAGGCAGAGGCAGGTGGATTTCTGAGTTCGAGGCCAGCTTGGTCTGCAGAGTGAGTTCCAGGACAGCCAGGGCTACACAGAGAAACCCTGTCTTGAAAAACAAACAAACAAAAAAAGAAAATATGTTTTTTTAAATACTGTACCATGAATGTACATACTTTGTTAAAAATGTTAAGAGTTTAGTATGTTGTGTGTTCCATCCATGGTCACACACTTTTGTGAGGATTATAAACTGTGACTTACCACAATTAAAGTTGAAATGGGCCTTAAGTGACAGACATAGACTGGACAGAATGCATTATTTTTGAGATGGGATGTCACTGTGTTGCCCTGGTTGGTCTTCAATGTCTAGATTTAAGATATGTTCCTGAGGCAAGCTCCTGAATAATATTCTTGAATAATATTCTGACCAACTGTGCTTAAGTAAAAGAATGTCCTTTTCTACTCCAAAGGAAGTTCTAATTTTCGCTTCATTTTTACAAATGTATTCCTTGAGTTCCCCTTACCTGTTCATTGACCCTTTTGAAGAAGATGGCAAGAGTGTAGACAGCGCCAAGAGGAGGCCCAATGTAGCTAGAAAATGAGGAAATATAGTGGAAGAGCTGTCCATTCTGTGCCACCTGGACCAGTGGGACCCACAGGATGCTGATCACAATCATCATGATGCCAAATACCCTGCCAGGAAAACACTGGGATTTAAACCTTAAACAAAAGCAGTATGCCCAGCTCCGCCGTTCCTGACACGAATCTTCTGCTCTTCCATTGGATTTCCAAGGAAAGGCAAGCTGCTTGACCTTGCTTGAACCCGTGTGTGGTGCCTGAAGAATATCAGGTAGTAAAAAAGTCAATGAATAAACTTCTCAAAATTAGCTGTATTTTTTTTCATTCATGAGGTTAGCTATGTATTCATGAAATCGACTCAAATTGTAGCGATTGAGTACTCTTCAAGGTACACATATATTAGAAACGAATCTTAAACTGCTTCTATCCATCGTTAGTAATTTATATGATAAATAAGGCAGATTTGTTCTTTTTTCCTTTTCCCAAGGTTGAGAGAAACTGAGTCAATTTACAGAGACTAGAATGAAAAATATCAAACACCTCAGATGTTGTGTGGCATGGTAAGAAATGGGAATGTTCCCTTCCTATCTCAAGTATTTCACCAGCTAAAATGAATTTGTTGAAATACTGTAGGTTGTAAAAAGGTATCGGAGGTAGCTGTGGTCCATGGGAGATGAGTTGCTGTTCGACACCCAGCATCTTTAATGACTGTGAACAAAGAATTTACCAATTGTTTACTATCCTGAGAAAATATGGTGGCGGTGGGGGTGTGTGGATGTGTCACCGAAAGTCTGTCAAAGGACAAGTGTTTCAGCTCTATAAGCTGCTCTAATCTCACAAGTATTGGGAAAACCAAACAGTCTCAGTGTGATGCCTCAAGGACTAAAGATTTGACCACCCAACCCACTGCATGCTGTTATAATTGAAAATTAACTCACACCCTCTGCCTCTCCCTCTGCCTTGGTGCCTTCTGTCACCCATCCAACACAATCAAATTTCCTGTTGTAGGTAACCGAGCCTGCTTCACTCCTCCTGGCTATCCCCCTAAGCTGGCGTTGTCTCACAAGCTCCTCTGCCCTAATATGACTGTCTTGTTGGCCAAAGTACCGCATCCCATTCATTCACTCTGTACAAGCAGATGCCCAGCAGAAGACAGATGCAGACACGGGCCTGAAAGTATCTGGAAATTGATCTCGGGTAATGGAAATGTGACCCACTAATAAGGTGATCCCATACTAGTGGGTCACATGAAGCTCATGGCAAGCAGGAGGGTAACAAGTATCGAGATAGGAAAATGATTTGAATATTAAATAAAAACATACATTCATGAATGCTCATCCTACCAGAAGAATAGATTCATTATTGTTCTTCCCCAGAAAGCCAACGGACTGCACACCACACCCATTTCAAACCATTTTAGGTAACTGTATACTTTGATACATCTTTTGATCCTGTTCTGAATTTATTCCCAGAACTTATGGCTGTAGGACAGAGAATGTAGTTGTTAATTATTTATTTCCCACACAAAATCATAAATCTCATTAAGAAATTAAAAAAATAACAGTGGGTTGTTTTTTTTTCCATGTCTTTGTTATGAGAAATGAGAAATTTAGGCAGCATAAGTGGAAAACTTATTAACATAATGGCTGAAATGTTAACAGCATTTATGCCTATGAGTTTGTGGGGTCTCCTATCTCCCCAGGGGTCATTGGCCACTGCCTGGCCAGCAAGGACAAAGGGAACAGAGGTGGAGCATAGGGTGGGCCAGACCGACACAGACATCGCAGCAGTGAGATGAACCCACTCTTCCAGGAGTAGGATACATAAAGGCTTCTAGGGGTACTGGTGGAAACAGCTAATTGGTCATAATACAGTTCCCAATTACCATTCAGTGGGAAGCCAAAGCAGGACTTATGTGCTGAGTTATGCAGCAGTGCACAAGGTCAGTCTTCAGATAAGGCCAGGCACCTGTCTGTGTTCAGGGATGCTCTCCAAAGAAAGTCAGACAGAGAGAGAGAAGCCCCATTGAGAAAGGGGGGTCCTTGGGCTGGAGAGATGGCTCAGTGGTTAAGAGCACTGACTGCTCTTCCAGAGGTCCTGAGTTCAAATCCCAGCAACCACATGATGGCTCACAACCATCCGTAATGAGATTCGATGCCCTCTTCTGGTGTGTCTGAAGACAGCCACAGTGTACTCATAAGTAAAATAAATAAATCTTTATTTAAAAAAAAAAAGAGAGAAAGGGGGTCCTTTAATCTGCACCAAGCTCATGGGAGACTTCGACCTTAATAACAGTGTTCTCCCACATGAGTTTTTACTGGAACTATTCCATCCTGAGCCTTATGAAATCCAGGTTACCAGGAAACTCAGTCCTTATTTCTCTGTCTCTCTGTCTGTTGTCAGGAGTCATCATAGGAGAAGCTTATAACTAGCAGGTGATCTTCCTGAGATGACTTCGCTTTAGATTATACCTACGATGAAGCTCCAACAGTCAAAGCCCAGGAGAAAATCATCTTAGGAAAGATTCCTGCTATTAATATGCATTTCCTGTTATTATTAAACATATATAACAATCACTAGTTATTAGCCCACCCCTTTTGAGCTGATCTCTGCAGGTCTCAGAGGATGTTCTGTCTTGTAGTGATGCTATATAGTCAAATAGATGACTTCTTAATTCTTAATAATGATCCTATAAAAATTCCTAAAATTATATCAGTGATTATGAAGCTCTTTTATAGTGAGACTGCTATTATTTCATTTTCTGATAGTCAAAACTGCCATGAGAACTCTGTCAGTGTCCCATGTGTCACCTCTTAGAGAGTAACCAGACTTTCTCCTACTCAGAGCACATTCCAAGAGGCTGTAAAACAATTAACCAAAGGTCGTAAAAAGGGAACTAATGATTTATTATAGGTGATAGGACAAAAGATAAAATATTGACTGAGTTTATCTATACAAAACTTCACTAATAACTTAGTTATGGTTTTTAACTTTCAGTGAACTTGTGGAGCTGTGACAGGTGATGGATGTTTAGCCAGACAATTTACTCCTAATGGATATGTATGTAAACATTGTCTGTTGTAAATTTCTATTTCAATTTATGATTTGATTTTATGTGTGAACTTGTGATGAACTTTTAAACATGTGATCACGTATTCTGAAAGATGTATACTGAGGACAAAGAAACAAGAAGATTTTTCCCTTGTCCCACTTAGGATCTTTCTGCTTTCCCCTTGTCTTAGATAGCATTCATAGGAAACTTTTTATACTCGTACACATAAATAAAATCATGTGTGTGTGTGTGTGTGTGTGTATAAGTATAAATATATACTTATATAAGTACGAATACATACATATGCACACACATCTATCTATCTATCTATCTATCTATCTATCTATCTATCTATCTATCTATCTAGTGATTAAATGAATAAACTATCCCAGAACAATGCAACATAACTGGTCATGGAAGAATTAGAAATCCCACTGTGTTATTCTGCTTATCATATCCTAACCAGGGAAGCTTTGAACTGCCTGTTGCATACCAATAGCGGTTGTTAGCTCTGGAAATATGAAACCCAAGATGAGGTTTGCGGGTCCTAGTAATTTCTACTTCTTGACAAAAATTACGGTTCTAGAAGTGTTCAATCTTTAAAAGAGATTTTATTCATACGTACGAGTGCTCTATCTGCATATACACCTGCATACCAGAGAAGGGCATCAGATCATATTGTAGATGGCTGTGAGATGGTTGCTGGGAATTGAACTCAGGACCTCTGGAAAAGCAGCCAGTGTTCTTAACCTCTGAGCCATCTCTCCACCCCCGAGTGTTCAGTTTTTCCAAACAGAACTTTGCCATTTATTTATGTTTCATGTTATCCCTCTATGTTCTACACTTTAATTTTTAAAGCATTATACAAAATGGCACATAGATTTTGCCTGAAAATTAAGTGAAGAACAGGACACCATGTTGGCTGCTATTCCTTGTTTCCTTCCATCTCACCATCTTCAAGGTCCCCAGTCTGTCTAGGATCTCCTAACTCTCCAAGCAGTCTCTTGGACTTTGTCTCTTCTTGAGGGTTTGACTCTGTCTAGCATGGCTCAACCTTTAGTGAATGCAGTTCTTAAACTTCTCTGTGTAACATGGGTGAGGTAACTGACTGTTTCTGTATGTTACGCACAGAAACTGTTAAAGGAAAGACATTCAGCTATCAGACTTACAGTGTGAGGTATGGCCCATTAAACACAGACTGATGGTGATGGTGTAGGATAAGGGGAAGGGATGAATAACAACCAGACAGTGGGAGTCTGAAAAACTAAACTACTTTGTTTAACGCTATGGCTATAATTTTTGGGTCTGTGAAGAGAAAGGTCGAGTTGAATATCTCTTAATGATTCTTCCCCATTGTAGAAGTACATTTTTAGTTTCCCTGAATCTAAAGAGCAGGGCTCTGTAGTTCCTGCCTCTAGCCCCCTCCTCAGAGAGGTTCTAGGCAGAGACCAGGTTTCCTCACCGTCCGGCTATCATGAGCTCTCTCTCTGACGCCTTCTTCCTTATCTTGGTGTACAGGTCCATGGTGAAGAGGGTGCTGGCACTGTTGAAGATGGAAGTCAGGGAGCTCATGAGAGAAGCCAACATGACTGACAGCATCAGGCCTCGCAGTCCTGAGGTCAGAGGGAGCAAGCTCTGGTTAGATTGGATGTCATGGCTTATGAGTGATTTGCTACATCCAAGAGCTAATCAAGGATAAAACACTCAATTACAGAGTTATTACCTAATGCAACTATCAGTGTAAATGATTGCTGAATTTTTTTTGTGATTCAATCAGTGGATACATCATTATACAATGGAGAAAGGTTTAATGAAATTCATTGTATTTGAATGTAAAAGATGTGGTAGTGAAATCCTTGTCTTTTAATCTGGGAGTTTAATTTTAAAAATACAAAGCTATCATGTGGTTGGTTAGCTTCTATGGCTTAAAATGAGCTTAAGAAACGTAACTATCTGGATTTATTTTATTTTTTTTTAAGATTTTTTTTTATTTATTTATTATATGTAAGTACACTGTGGCTGTCTTCAGACACCCATATGAGGGCGTCAGATCTCATTGCAGATGGTTGTGAGCCACCATGTGGTTGCTGGGATTTGAACTCATGACCTCTAGAAGAGCAGTCAGAGCTCTTAACCGCTGAGCCATCTCACCAGCCCACTATCTGGATTTATAATGCAAACATTTTCTGAGGTTCTTCCTCTGGTTCAGCTTAGTATCAGCTTAAGAGCTAAATATTACTTAAAGGTCACATTCTGGGAACTTTGCAAGAGAAGGAAGAACCTGGTACCATCCTTCTTTGGAGAAGAAACTCTTGGCGTTGTGAGCACTTTGAGAATCACAGAACTAGAGTCCTGGAAGATGATACTGTTGAGAAAACTTTATGGACAAAGCTGAAAGTTTTCAATCATTGTGAGAGCTTCACACTTCTGCTCCTAACCCCTGTTAGTGATGGCTCCAGGCTTCCCAGTACAGTGTAAGATGACATGCATTCTACCTTGAGTTTGTGGGTTCCTTAATTTTGAATGACCTTGTGAATATCAAGAGGAAAAATGGCACAGAATTGTTCACCGAGACCCCAGACCACTTAGACTTTTCAGCTCTGTATGTGCTCTGTGTATGGTCCCCACAGCAATGATCACTTTCTGAAATCCTTTTTTTTTTTTTTTTTGGTGGGGGGGGGTTCGAGACATGGTTCCTCTGTGTAGTCCTGGCTGTCCTGGAACTCACTCTGTAGACCAGGCTGGCCTCAAACTCATAAATCACCTGTCTCTGCCTCCCAAGTGCTGGGATTAAAGACGTGCGCCACCACCGCCCAGCTCACTTTCTGAAATCCTAATAACCAGGACTTCACAGATAAAGCTTGTTATCTAGACTGTAAAGCTACAGTGAGTTTTGAGATGTAGGGCAATCATGCTCACTTTACTGGTAAATCCTAAGAGCTAAAGAAACACATGAGAAATGGTGTATCCTTAGGTACAAAGTGTGCAGATCGAGATATTATTCTAAAGTCAAGGTAACAGTTAACTTCAAGTCTTCTGGGTTTATGCATTTGTAGCATTAAAACTTCTTTGGCTAACAAGTCATTTCAATGTTAACTGAGCCAGAAGACAGAGTTCACCCTAAGCAGTGTTCTTCTAACAGAAATTAAGTCATGTCTGCAATCTCCAGACCCAGCCATAACATGACTAGTAAACTTATGACTGATTCTCAAGAAGTATCTGATGAGTAGGACTGAATTAATGGAAGGATTGCCAGAGAGTCTTCCCCAATAGATCCTCCATGGCCCACGTATCCCTCTAGCCATGCTATGGATGTTTACCCACCGTTAGGCATCAGCTCCAGGACCAAGGTGGGGTAGGCATAGTTGGTGCAGCCGGCTGCAGTGCCACACTGTTTCTCGCACTCAGAAGGCACAACACAGGCCACCTTATCTAAGGGGAGATACAGTTCATTGGTCAGGACCGGACTAGGTACAATCTGCAAACAGGGGACAGAGCGAAGACGTAAGGTCATAGATGGGAGAAGCCGTATTTGCCTAGAAATTGGATGCTGAGCTTTGAACTTGATACACTTACGCTTAGTTGGGAAAACACAGTGAATGTTGTGTGATGGGATTAACACTAGAAATGTGTCTTTCATTCCTCAGAAATGATTGGCCTAGTCTCCTTACCTTTCCTAACCAAGAAAAAGTAATTCCTCAAAAAAAAAAAAAAATCAGCAGTAGTTATCTTCATCTTACTCCAAAATTAATTTTCCCCAAATATTGACAATTGATTCAGTTTCGAAGTTCTGTCAGAGACCAAGATATGCATTTGTGTCTCCAAGACCTTCTTGGTCAAAGATGTCGCCTCACCTGACCGTAAAAGGTAACTGTGGTGGTTAGAATATGCTTGGCCTAGGAGTGGCACTATGATGAGGTATGTCCTTGTTTGAGTGGGTGTGGTCCTGTTGGAGGGTATGTTGCCTTGCTGTAGTGGGTGTGACCTTTTTGGAAGAAGCATGTCATTGTGGGGGCAGGCTTTGTGATGCTCCTGTCTGCCTGAAAGAAAAGATGGAACAAGATGTGTAATTCTCATCTCCTCCAGCACTATGTCTGGCAGGACACTGCCATTCTTCCTACCTTGATAATAATGGGTTGAACCTCTGAACCTGTATCCAGCCTCAATTAAATGTTATTAGAGTTACCTTGGTCATGGTGACTGTTCAAAGCAGTAAAACCTAAGACAGAAACTAAGACAGAAGTTGGTACCAGAGACTGGGGTATTGCTGTGCTAGGTCTGACCATGCTTTTGTTTGGAGTAATGTAGATTTTGGGATTTTGGATTGGAAAGCTGTGAAATCCTTTAAGTGGGGCTTAGTGGGCCATCCTAGTAGGAATATGGAAGGCATTCATTGGTGTGGAGGGTGATTTGAACTCTGAAGATCATTCTTATGATGTTTTGGTGAAGCCTCTTTCTTCCATGTGCCTTGTAGGGGAGGAAATCATCCTTTAACAAGTGTTAGAAGCCTTGACTTCAGCTAGGAGGAGGGCCTCAAAGCCCACTCCCACAGTGACACACTTCCTCCAGCAAGGCCACACCTACTCCAACAAAGCTATACCTCCTAATAGCACCACTCCCTGGGCCAAGCATATTCAAAGCACCACAGTCAGCTATCACATCCTTCCTCAGTTCCACCTCATCACCCAGGGAACTTCTGGACTATCTTATATCAAATCCACTCACAGGAACAGGATGTACAAAAGTGATGAAGAAGAATGCCAAATCTGCTGAATGTTTTCTTTCAGACCCTTTTCTCAGAAGTGCCTCCCTCTGTTGGGGATTGGTTCTAATGCTTTGATTTAATCAGGCTCCCAAAATCGGGAATCTGTGTGTCCAAATGCTGAAGGTCCTTGTCCCCAATTGGTTTTTGATCGATCAATAAAGAACCAAGAGCTAATGGCTGGGCAGGTAGACCTTTAGATTTGTGTGAGCTAAGAGCTAGGAGAAAGAAAGAGAGGGAGTCACCATGACTATGGGAGAAGGATGGGAAGTGAGTGCTGCAGGAAAGAAAGCCAATCAGCCATGTAAGAATTCAGATAACTGGCCACTGGCCACTTCCTTGCTTAGGCCTAGGGTAGCATGGGAAGGTTTAGGAGTCTCAGGAGTACCAGAGGGGAGCATTTGCTACCCAGGAAGATTTAGGAGTGACCAGCATTTGAGCTATTCAGGGCATGTCAAATATTACCTGATGTGTGTGTGTGTGTGTGTGTGTGTGTGTGTGTATGTGTGTTTCCTTTGCAAATCCAGAGGGCTCTGGTGGATGGGTGGGAGCGTGACCCTCCAGGAACACAAATCAGTCGATCTAAAATTACCACTACATCCCTCCATCTCTCCTTCTAACCTATCAAAACTTTTCCAATCTTAAAATCCACAGACATCAAGTATAGAAAAGAGGATTCATATATTCATGGCTTGCCTGTGTACAGAATTCGGCTGATCATGCCTGGCATCACCATGAGGAACATGGGCAGCAGCTTCAGGTAGCCACACATGATGCAGGCAGCCTTCATGTGGGACATGTTCTTGCCACATAAGCAGCGCTGTACAATGACCTGCCAGGGAAACACAACATATTAGTGCAACAATCTGCTAGTGAGTTTAAGGAGGGTGAGAATACTGTTTCAAGGCTTCATATTACATATAATAAGAAATCATATGGTTAGGATTGAAGATATGGATCAGCAGATGGAAAGCTCTTGATATTGTTCATTCAGAGGACCAGGGTTCAGTTCCCAGCATAATTCCAGTTTTGGAAGAATCTAATACTATCTTTTGACCTCCATGGACACAAAGCACACAGACTGTGCACATACTTACCTGCACACAAAACACTCATATGTATAGAATAAAATTAAATTAAATATCATTTATAAAAGTTATGGTTAGTGGAATCCAGTGGGCTTTATAGAAGCATCAGGATTTGTATTACTATGTAAGTTACCTCTGTACATCTTCTGTTTCTCATCCTTAAAGTAGAAATATCTCTTTTAGGGTATTCTCAACATTTCATATAAAGTACACATGACCCTAGTATATAGAATATATACATCATCTGTTACTGAAGCGTGGTTGTCACACCCAGATTGTAGCACAGTAGGGCAGCAGGTTTCTCAAGCCACTTCTGGTGTTGCCATAAGCTGTGTGTTCTTGTCTTGAACGTTGTACATACATATCCTCAACATCTTCCTTGTTATTATCAGGTAACTTCCTTCTAGGTGGTCAAGCCAGTTTCCATGGAAATGTCATAATTATTAAGCCATGACAATAAAACATTGAGACATTCATTTCTAGAATACTTCGGGCTATCCTAAAAACTCATCTAGTTAGGAAGTGAAAGTGATAGAATTGGTGTGGTTCTGAGGGGAGGGATTCAATGTAGACACCCCATTTAGGGCCAAGTGTTCCGAGGTCTCTTACTCTCAGCACAATGTCTGGCTGTGGTCTCTGTATTCCCATCTGCTTCAGGAGGAAGCTTCTGAGGATGGGCGTGAGAGACACTGATGTACGAGTGTAGCAGAATGTTGTCAGGAGTCATTATATTGGTAGATTTTTTTCTTTCTTCTTTATTTTAGTTTTAGCAGAACAGTAGTATTTGGCTTTACTCCAGGTCCCTGGATGGTCTAGTCTTAGGTTCTTGGCCACCCAACCATTGCTGGCTGTAGGTTCCTTCTCATGGCATCAGCCTTAAATCAGATCCTGCTTGGTTCCTTTCACAAGCTTTGTTCCAGTGTTGCACCAGCAGATCTTGTAGGCAGGTAACCATGGTAGAGCAAAGGGTTTGCAGCTAAGTTGGTGTTTACCTTTCTCCTCTGGTATTGTTCCTTTCAGTACCATGAATATCGGTTGTCAGGGGCAGCCCTGCTTATATGCTGAAGGCCTAAAATCAGCCATAGGCCTAAAATCAGCAATAGGTCTGACATACATGCCTGCTAAAACAAAGTCTTGGGTCTCTGTGGAAAAACACTGAAATAGATAGGTATAAGATATTGTAAACAGGCAGCTTTGGTGGAAATTTACCAGCCTGGATAAAGACAAGTAGTCATAGGTCTTGTGGATATTCATAGACCTTGGATAGCCTTGGTACCAACTTAGATAAGGATAAGTGAATCATAGGTGGAGTCATAATGATCTGTTCCCTGAACCTTCATCCAGCTGACACTCTGTTCTCGAAGATATCTGTACCCCCCCTGAACACCTACACTCCTGCATCATCCCCTTCCCCACATCCCGCCTCTATGTGCATATAACCCCTGTGTGGAAAAAAAGTAAAATCAGCAATTTGGTCAGACTATCAACAAGCCACTCTTTGTGTCCCCTGTCCTCCATTTCTCTCTTCCAGGTGTTCTGATCCCAGTTCAGTGCCCCATGGGACTAGGGCATTCTGGCACATAAACAGGGACTCTGGAAATCAAGGAGGAGAGTACACTGGCTCTGCAGAGGAGGGGTAGGCCTACCCAGTATTCAGGATTGTTGAGATTGACTGCCTGGAGTGCCTAAGGGCACTTCACATTAAGGAGCACTTCCTAGAGTGACTCCCGGAGGCACTAAATAAGTGACCTTTGCATTTTCTGGAGCACCCAAGAGGACAACTCCCGAGGTGTCTGAGAACACCTCGAATTCACAAGGATGCCACAGTCTGACCTGTTGTGAGACAGTCCACCTGTGGGAGAATCAGAGTATCAGAGTGGCCCGATCTCGACGTATGAGTGATAGGACTGGCATAAATGGTCACTCTGTGACAGGGCTCAAGGAACCTATATTCTGGACACGAGGAACTAGGGTTAAGAAAAAAGGATCTTTAAAAATTCTTTGCTTTCATTAATGTTGTTTTTCTCAAGAGGGGACTATTGATAAAAAAGTTATACCTCCTAAGGAGGAGATGAGAAGTTAAACCTTGAAAATGAGAGAGAGAAAAAGCAAAGGCAGTTACTTGTTCTCTGATGTGTTAGCAAAAGAAAAAGAAAAAGCTTATTTTGGAGCCCCCTGGGAGCAAGAGATGATCAAGGGGGATGCCCTGTTCTCTCTGGCTCTCTCTAGGAGAGATTATCAGTTCTGCTTCCTCTGTCTATTGTCTGTCACTGGCACACCAATATTGTCTATGTGTGTCAATTGTCTGTCTTTGTCTTATTGTTTGAATGATTGTTGTTCTATGTTTCATATTCAAAAGAAAAACTGGTTAAAACCGCTTGCTCGATTTAGTTTAAAACTTGCTTGGGAGGCAGTCTCAATTTACGCAACAAAAACTGGTAGTTTACCCTGTTCTGTGGCTGGGAGAAGGGCAGTGGCATAAAGAACCTTGGGAAGAGTTAACTGTTTTCATAAGCGGCTCTTCGAGGAAGGCCAACAGTTTTTTGGCTTCTCTAGTAAGGAAGTTGGTAGTGTTTTTTCCCAGTTTGCTAAGTGAAAGGGTGCTTTTCTCTATTACAGCTAAAAAGGTAAGAAAAATTTGTTGAGATGTACATTTATTCTTATTCTTAATTGGTTTAAAATATATAAGTATGCACTATACATCCTGGTTATATATTATTGGGTATGATTACAAATTTATACTTTTGGTAACAAAAAACTAGAATAAAACTAATAATCCAGAGTTAGAGTTATTAAAAAACCATATATATATATAAAAGAGATCTCAGTAGGAGTTTTATCTGGAATCAAACAAGAACACCTTCTTTGTGTTACACAATTGGCTTATTAAATGATCCCTTTAAAAGAGTTTTAATATAAGCCTTTGCTCTCATACAACGAGCTTTAAAATTTTAGAGAGTGCTTGTTCCTCCAGAAAACATCCAAAGATGATATCTTTTCAATATCTGAGACATCAGCTAAATTCCTAGATAAATTGTGACACAAAAGAATTCAAATAAAAAAAGATAGTTTACTTATTTTAAATTATTTCAAAAAGTTTCTAAGAGATGCCCATTGGCTACCTTATTTTAAACTCTCCACAAAAGAATTTAAGCCTCTGTTTAATATTCTCAAGAGAGATACAAATTCTAATTTTCTTCAACAACTAATTGACAAAAGAGGAGTGATTTTACAAAAAGTAGAAGAAGCTGTTGTTAATAGATACATTATATAGATTGATTAGTTGTTGGCTGTTTTATAACAGTTCTTTGATAAAAGAGATTATTAACATAGATTTATATTTGTTTATTTCCAAAAGAAGTTTTAGCATCCTGCTTTAAAACTGTTGCTATGTTAATACAAAATTATAGATTAAGATCACAAAGGTATTTAAAAAAAAGCATTTAATAAAGTATTTCCTATTCCAAATAATAATATAATTGGTTATTAAAGAATACTGATATTTGGCCTAATACATGATCAATTTGTTACACTTTTCCTCCTACATATGCCTTTGTATTTCTTATGAATTTATACATATAGCCCATAAAAGGTGTGTTTACTATATTAATAGACAGCTCATCTAATGGAAAATACAATATACATAATTAGATTACATGTTTACTCTCTTGAATTCCTCCCTGCTTCAGCACAGATAATTGAACTATGTGTTGTAGCCACTATTTGAAATACAAAAAATTGGCTGGGTGGTGGTGGCACATACCTTTACTCCCAGCACTTGGGAGGCAGAGGCAGGTGGATTTCTGAGTTTGAGGCCAGCCTGGTCTACAGAGTGAGTTCCAGAACAGCCCGGGCTATACAGAAAAACCCTGTCTCGAAAAACCAAAAAAAAAAAAAAAAAAGAAATACAAAACTTAAGTTTTTTAATTGGTATACTTATAGTTAGTATATAGCTCATGGTTTATGATAGCTTAAAATTGTTCCTTTTTTTAGATATTGCTAATTTTCAAATTTTACAAATACAGCTCAATTCAAGAAACATGTATTTTAGCCGGGCGGTGGTGGCGCACACCTTTAATCCCAGCACTTGGGAGGCAGAGGCAGGCGGATTTCTGAGTTTGAGGCCAGCCTGGTCTACAGAGTAAGTTCCAGGACAGCTAGGACTATACAGAGAAATCCTGTCTCGAAACAAACAAACAAACAAAAAACAAATAAACAAAAACAAAACAAAACAACAACAACAAAAAGAAACATGTATTTTTCCTTAATTTTGTAAGACATTTAAGAGCTCATACTTGATTGCCTGGACTCCAGAAATGTCATAAAAAATTTGTATATCAGATAGATTACAGACCTTACAAAAATGATTGGCCATAGAATTTTATTCTTTACATTGGGGTTACTATATAATAAAAGTTTATCTGTCTAAAGTTACTAAAGCTACATTGTAGGCCACTGTGTCTGATTTGCCTTTTGTGATTCTTGAGGCCAAAAACTGCAGTTTTCTGACACTTAACACCTCATTCTAAAAACAGCCAAAGATTAGGTAAACAGCTTTTGTTTTGTCTCAGCAAGAACTGCTGGGCTCTAACTTATGCCTGCTAGTCTGAGGCCACTTAAAAATGTTACTATAGAGTTTATTACTAAATGTAAAAAGTTTCCTATGAAAGCTATCTGAAGAAAAAGTACAAAGAAAACTTCTATTTTATTTGAGAAAAGGAAAAAAGTTTTATTTTATATACTATCCTAAGTGGGGAGTTGGGTCTGGAGACCCAACTCCTTTATTTATGATGTTCTTGGTTGATTTAGCATGTTTGAACACAAAAATTTTACTTTCTTCTGCTTTTCATGAGTTCCATTAAAAAAAATCAGTTCGACCTCAGAGGGTTCCCATCATGTGTGGAAAGTTTCTTTGCAGCTTCCAATATTTTGTCTTTGCATTTAAGTTTTGAGAGTTTGATCAAAACATATCTTCCTGTGAACATCTTTTGAATCATCCTGTTAGCCGCTCAGTTAGCTTCCAGGCTTTGCATTTCTGGTTCCTTTCCCAGACTTGAGAAGTTTCCACCACTATTTCTCTGAATGGTCCCCCCCCCCAAGGTTGTTATTTCTTTCTGCTTGGTGTATCTGCTGCTGAATTCCTCCATTGACTTTTTAGTTCAATTATGCCTCCTTCCTCTAAATAACTTGTTACTTTTAAATATCTTGTGAAGTTCCCAGTCTGTCAATCATTGCCTTCCTCTCCTCCCTGAATTATGTTGTAAGCATCATTTTTGAATACTATGTTAGGTAAATCTCATCTCCATTCCAATATGGAGAGTTTATGGAGATTTTACTTCTGCCAGTTGGAATAGATTTTCTAGTTTCTACATGGTTTTTTTTTTCAATCCCTTTGTGCAGTTCTGTGTATTAAAAAGGAATTGGGTCTCCAGATTTCTGGAAACAGTTCTTGGGTGATAGCCCCTTCTCTCTTTCTTTCTCTCTCTCTCCCTCTCTCTCGCTCTCTCTCTCTCTGTCTCTCTCTCTGCCTTTCATTCCAGGTGCACCCCTGGACTCTTTGTAATTCTCACTAGTTTTTGTTCTTAACAGCATCTAAAAAAATCACAGTGTAAAGTCTTGCTATTTTGTTTACAGAGATAGGATAGAAGTGGAATCTCCTGCTCTGGTATATGATGTCAAAGTTCCGTTAAAGCCGGGCAGTGGTGGCGCACGCCTTTAATCCCAGCACTTGGGAGGCAGAGGCAGGTGGAACTCTGAGTTTGAGGCCAGCCTGGTCTACAGAGTGAGCTCCAGGACAGCTAGGACTACACAGAGAGGCCACCCTGTCTCAAAAAACCAAAAAAAAAAAAAAAAAAAGCTCTGTTTAAAAAAAATACTGCGTAGGTGTTCCACCAATCTGCAGATGTCTTGATACATAACAAGTAGTGATTGCCAAGAAACTTTAAGGTAAAAGTAAGAATTGTTAATAGAAAAGAGAAAACCGCACATATATATGCGTGTATACACACACACACACACACACACACAGAACCAAAACATGTATGTCTGTGTGTGTGTGCGATAGCAAATAATTACTTTCATATAATGACAAAAACTATAGACTGAATGTTCTAAAATTGTGATCAAGAGCTACAGAAAGGTCGGGACAATAGAAGATCCGGAACTGAAGAAAGAAAGCTAAATTCTCAATTAAGAGAAAAATGCTAAAACTAGAAAGTCTAAAGAAAGAAACATAAACCTTTGAGTCATTTCGGGCCCAATTAAGTTTAAAAATCTGATTTGGTGTGTGATACACTTGGAGCATATCTATTTCTATTGCCTTCAAAAATTATATCAGTTCTGATGAATATACCAAACACAGTGGTTTAGAGACTAGAAAAGAAGTCTAAAAAACTTAAATGAAACAGCTGCATGCATCTCTGAGGGGAGAAAACATAATGTGGCGAGGAGGGAACAAGACATCTGTTTTCTATATACAAGACATAGAAAAGTATCTGACACTTTAAATATTGTCAATGTGCACAAAATAGTAAAAGCTAGATGCTTTTGCATCAAACAAGAAAAATAAAAATAAACACAGTCACACCTGCAAATGTCTATGCTCACCTGATCTGCACACCAGTACCAGATGGCTAAAATGGTCATTCCAAACATCAGTCCTGGCCATGGAATGTCTCCAGTGATAGGATCTCGGAAGATGTGGAAGGAGTCTGGCTGAGGAGTGTAGCACTTGGGGCTGATCGTCAGGTTGTCCCCCTCCACTATAGAGGGGATGGCATTCATGTACTTCTCTGTAAAGCTCTCATAGCCTCCGACTTCAGCAAATGCTAGAAAGGCATCAGATAGAATGTGTGAGGATTTCAAACAGCACATGCTCATAAGCACTCCACTGCAGTGAAGGTACTTGAGTGCTTCCTATTGGCATGGTCACATCTTCAGTGCTTTCCCCAATGGTGGATACATGCCTGTGGGATCATCCATGATAGAATACTGGCTTCTACTGAGTATTCAAAGAAAACAATTCCTTAATATTGTTTCTTTCTGATTTCTTAAGTAAATCACCTAACAAAGCAATGAACTCATACATAAAAAAAATTATGCAGCTCAATTAAGGTTGCCACTTAATAACATTTGCCCAGTACCAAACTCTACAAACCTCACTAGACATTTCACAGTTACAAAATGAACATTTAGAAGCAACAGAACTTTGTTATGGTTTTATACTTTATCTGTCAATTACATTTTTACTCAACACACACACACGCACACACATATACACACACAGGTGGGCAGGCATGCATACAAACAAGCATGCATACACATGTGCACACACACCTGTGCATACACATTCATACACACACTCATACACACACTAACACACTCATACATACACACATGCATAGACACATGCACACACAAACATGTACACATATGTACACACACATATGTACATACACATGTGCCCATGTGTGCACCTACACATACACACACACACACACTCACAACCATGACAGCTGAAACCGGAACAAAGTATCTTTCTATCCTTCACTCCTGCATTCTGTACTTCCTATCACTGATGTCACATTTTTCTCCCTCATGTTTCTATGTTATGCTGGATCCACATTTACAGTGTTTCCATATATACATGTGTACATCGCAGGCAAGGATCTTCACCTAAGGAGAATGTGTGATGCTTATTTTCTGTTTGATTTTTTGAGGTTTGAGTCACTTTGCTTAGTGTCATACTTTCTGTGGCCACTCACTTTTCTGCAAACTTCCTGGTGAAGTAGGAGAACAGACATAAATGGCTTCCATTCCCGCCTTGAAGTCCTAGTGATATATGTTTCATTGTAGTCAGATTTTGTAGTTCAAAACTAAGTAGGAGCTACAATTTTATATGAACAAGTGTGAGGGGGAGAATGACAGATTCCTCTGGATTAGGGTGGAAAGGAGAGGAGGAAGGGAGAGAGACAGAGACAGGAACACATAAAGGGTGACACACTGAAACACACTGACACACACACAGAGAGACAGAGAAAGACACACAGAGGAAGAGAGAAGGATTGAAAGTGGAGAGGGAAGAGAGAGAGACACACAGAGGGAGTCAGAGAGACACAAAGAGGGACAGTCATACACACACAGAAAGAGAAACACACACACACACACACACACACACACACACACACACGAGTTTGGATGGTAAAAACCATACCAGGAGGATTGGTAAGGTAGAGAGAAGGTTGAGACTTGGATACTTGGTGAGCACACACCTAAGACTTAGGTGACTCCCTGTTCCCTGCCAGACTCCGGACCTGGAACACAAACTATGCTTCTCACATAAAAGAAATGTGTCTGGGCTGGAGAGATGACACAGCAGTTAAGAGCACTGACTGCCCTGCCAGAGGTCCTGAGTTCAATTCCCAGCAACTACATGGTGGCTCACAACCATCTGTAATGGGATCCAATGCTCTCTTCTGGTGTGTCTGAAGATAGCTGCAATGAACTATATAAATAAAAAATAAATAAATCTTGAAAGACAGAGAGAGAGACAGAGAGAGAGAGAGAGAGAGAGAGAGAGAGAGAGAGAGAGAGAGAGAAATGTGTTCCATGGTCACGTAGGCCCAAATCAGTTCTCCATGCTCATGAGATGCCTAGAGGCCTGGAGGGCTTAGCCAAGAAGCTTCCTTTCCCTGACATTCTTCCCTGCAAAAGATATTTAATCACAGGAGTCTACCCTGAGAAGTGGGTATGGAGCATTATTCATTCATTTCCCACCATGAACAGACAATAAACTCTTTAGAACTATGGACTGTCTCTTTCATCAAGATCTGCCATGAAGAGCCATGGAGGAGGCATTCAGCTACAGAACCACAGCTTAATTCTCCTGTAGAAGGTCTCTCTGTAATTGCAGACAAAGCTACCACCAAGTCTGCCTCTGCCAAGCTAAGGACAATCACCGCTGGGACAAACTGGAGATTCTCTTACTCCTGGACCTGGGCTAGATGCTGTCCCCAGCCTGCAGCCTTTGACTCTGTTCTTGGCTCTTCCATGACTCGCAGCAGTGCCTGGATGTCCAAGAGTCAGAGAACCCAACAGCTCCAGGCCTCTTCACAGGCCCAGGGACCCCAGAACCAACTCTGGCTTTCCCACATCTCAGGCTGTGCTTTCCTATCCCCAGAACAGTGTCTCAGCATTTCCCTACAGCCTTGTACCCACCTGGGCAAGGCGTGGGCTAAGTGTAGTGTTCTGGCTCCCTAATTGGCCATGCCCAGTGGTGGGGTAGATGTGGGACAACCCCTCCCCCCACACACACACTGAGAAAGAGAGGGGGGGATTGGGAAAATATGACTTACCCATGGTGGGGGCGGGAGGAGGGGGGAGGGCAGGATATTGGGAAAATATAATTAACCCATGGACTCAATCTCGACTCAATAGTGAACAGAGTTCTAGTCCAACCTTACAGAAATCCTGGAGTCTTCAGCACATACTAGCAACTAGAAATATTTTTCTTTCCTCATGGCACAATATCAGGAAGCCATTTTGAAATAATTCTGAGTCTTAAGAATTATTAAGCAGCTTTAAGAATCAAAATCCTGAGCACTGGTGGAGCTTTTGGGATTCTTCCTCCCACTGGGTTGTCTCATCCAGCTTTAATCACAGCAACTTAATATGCCATGTTTGCTTGATATCATCCCTGGGAGGCCTGCCCTTTACTCAAGGAGGAGGAGTATGGGGGCCAGGAGAGGGGGATAGAGGGAGAGGAGGGAGGAGAAACTGTGGTTTGGATGTAATATATGAGAGAGAGAGAGAGAGAGAGAGAGAGAGAGAGAGAGAGAGAGAGAGAAAGAAATTGCTTTTTATCATTTTATCCTTGGGAACCCACTGTAAAGACCAGGTCCATAGACAATTAGTGCTGCCCCCAAGGGCTAGCAACAAGGCCAAGGGGTAGTCACAAGGGAGAGACTTCCAGAGAAGTATAGCTCAGTACAGGGTGGGGGGGAGTACAATGGTTCAGTACTTGTCTGTTAGAATACATTCTAGAATGGAGTAGTTGGATAATTCTGAGTGCTTGTGAGAAAACAGGAAAACAAGAGTCTTGTGATCCCCATTTCTTCAAGAACACAATTGTTCTTGGAGTGTGCTTTCGTGGCTCTCCCAGGTATAGTGGGTAGGAGTGTGTTCATGTTAGACTCAATGGGCTCTTGCTATTTGTTTATACACCTCTAAGGAAAAACATGTTTTGCCATGTGCAGTTCATTCTTGTGATTCTATACTTTATGCAGATGACTTGCCTTAACCCTCAGAGTATAAATTGTCTGATGCTCTGAATAAAGTTGGCCACTGCAGAAGACTGCAGTCTGCCTCATTTACTGTCTCCATTTTCCCAGGTACCACCACCTCTAGAGTTGTAAACACTTGTCAACTTGATAAGATTCAGAATGATCTAGGAGAAAAGCTCCTGGTTGTATATTGAATATTAATTTTTTTTGCCAAGAATTGGTCCAATAGAGAATTAACATAAAGTATATTTGGCGAACACAGAAACTCCCTGAAATTTGGAGGCTGAAACAGGTGTGTTAGTGTATATTTTTTCACAATCTATTTTTTAAAATTTATTTTATGTATTCATCATTCCTCTCTTCAGACACACCAGAAGAGGGCACCAGACTCCATTACATATTGTTGTGAGTCACCATGTGGTTGCTTGGAATTGAACTCAGGATCTCTGGAAGAGCAGTCAGTGCTCTTAACCACTGAGCCATCTTTTCAGCCCTTCACAATCTATTTTAATAAGGGTTCAGCCTCCCCTCTAGCCTACCACCCACCAGAGGTAGTGGGAAAGAAATGTTATTTGGATACAGAAGAAGTAGACCTGTTTAGAAATAGTTCTTTGGGGCGTGTACTGGCTGAATTTGGGTGTCAACTTGACACAAGCTAGAGTTATCACAGAGAAAGGAGCCTCCCTTGAAGAAATGCCTCCATGAGATTCAGCTGTAAGGTATTTTCTCAGTATTTTTTTTTAAGAGTCTTATTTATTTTTTTGTATGAGTACACTGTAGCTATCTTCAGACATACCACAAGAGGGCATCAGATGTTATTTCAGATGGTTTCAAGCCACCATGTGGTTGCTGGGAATTGAACTCAGGACCTCTGGAAGAGCAGTCAGTGCTCTTTACCATCGAGCCATCTCTCTAGCCCCTAGCATTTTCTTGATTAGTGATCAAAGAGGGAGGGCCCAGTTCAATGTGGGTGATGCCATCCCTGAGCTGGTGGTCCTGGGTTCTATAAGGAAGCAAGCTGAGTAAGCCAGGAGAAGCATGCCAGTAAATAACATCCCTCCATGATCTCTGCATCAGCTCCTGCCTCCAGGTTCCTGCCCTGTATCAGTTCCTGTCCCAACTGATGTCCAGTCTACCATTATATGGTAATTCCATTTAAACTTCTTTTATATTTTTCTAAAATATAAAAGTAGTAGGTTTCTATAGATATTTTCAAAAGGCCTTTAGTTTTAGTGTGGCACTTTGAATGAGCATGGCCTTCATAGGCTCCTATCTTTGAATACTTATACTTAGTCCATAATTAGTAGAACTCCTTGTAAGAATTATGAGGTCTCTTGATAGCTTTATATCATGTTGACAGAAGCTAAAGTCATTTGAAAGGAGGGAACCTCAATTTAGAAAATGCCTACATAAGATTGA